AGCATTCAGTCAGTATGAAATATGTTTTCAGAGAACAGAAAATACTACCCTTAAAGGAAACCATGTTTCTCAGGTCATTTGACACTGATGTTGTTAACACTCAGGGTATTCTATGAATAGTTACAATAAAAAAACCACAAGTCATTATTAAAATTTCTTAAGATCATATTTAAAACAGAAAGGATTAATCCTTGCCCATATTCTACTCTAAGGCATTGTGAAATATTGAACAACTAAAATATAGATCAAAGTGAACAAGACCACTCATGACTCTATGATTTCATACCTGTGTGGATTAAATGATTAAACCACAGCCATATGCTTAGTACTTTATCCTTAGTTTTTGCTTTTGCCAAATATTATCTTCTGGGGTATGTATTCACCTGAATGGGACAGAAAGTTTGACCTATTAAACTCAAAAGAGGAAAAAAAAAACAGTTTAGAGATGATTCTCTAGCTTCTGGTCTTGATGTAGGGCAAAATATCATGGTGGTGAGAGTATGTGGCAAGGACCAGAAGCAAAGAGATCACCTTCAAGGACCTTCAAGGACCACCTTCAGTGACCCACCTCCTCTAACTACATCTACCCCCAAAAGTTACCAGAACCTCACTAAATGAAACCACCATAAAGAGACCAAATATTAAACACAAGAGCTTCTGATGTACATTGCATATTCAAACCATGATGGAGTGTACACAATGAGTTCTCTTGTAACAAGTCAAATTTCCTTACACCCTTGTTTCCCAAGGTAACTATTTATTCAGTTCTAAAGTATATTTTACCATAAAAGGCATAAACTCTATTTTTCTCCATCAATTGGATTTATCCTTGGAAATTAAGGGTACTATTAGCAGAGCCTTGTTTATTTTGGTGCTTCTGACCTACATGGTAATTACCATTGCTATAAACAGACTTAAAACTGACTCAAGATTTCTGCTCAGTAACTGTCTTCTTCTTAAGAATCACTTGCGTCCCTGAATTCAAGGCTGAGGGATAGAGAAACTCTTCACATTGGCCTATGAGAGATTTGTGTTTCTGGACCTGGTTCACTCTTGCTGGAAATGAGTTGCCCATTGTCCATTTTGTCTGTGAGTGAAGGTGGAACGTCTACACCATGGAGTAGACTTGACTTTCTGGAGCTATAGGAGGTTGAATACACAGTCATAGAGCTATTGCAAACAGTGTACAAAGCCATCTAACTGTACAGTCATCTCTCCAGCCCCAGACATGATTCCTTTCTCTAGGATCTGACACTATGACCTGACAGTTGTCCGTGTTTCTACTGTTGTGCCCAAATTCTGAAACCTCCAAATCACCAAGAGGCCCATTTTGATGCAAAAGCAAAGAGTCTTTTATTATACTTGTTTAACGAGCTAACCCCATTAGGTCAGGCACTTCATCCATCCATCTCGAGGATGGCTGGAGAAAGACCCCTAGAAACTAATAGGCAGGGATCTTATAGCAGGTGTCTAGGGGTATGCAACAGTCTTAGGACTGATATGCTTCCAGGCTTGGATGACCTGCCGTGTGTTGATTGGTCAACTGGTTGTTATGGCCCATAGGCCCTCCCAGGGCACTTGCTATGCTCTATACTTCACTGTTGTGTACTTGTACATAAAGTACACGCAGAGCCATAAAACACAGCTCTGTCAGCTAACTTCTGATTAGTTCCTTGCCACGAGGAGGCCATTTGACCTCCTAGGGACCAGGAATGGAGGGGCAAAGTCAGGTGAGCACATGTTAGCCTGTCATGGCTCATAAAACGGGGTGGGGTAGTGGTGGTACCTTCAATACTCTTTGATGAGAAAAAAACCCCAACTTGAAACGTGGTATTCTGGTTTGCTTAGTAGAAGAGGTAGTGTAGGAAAAACGTAATACCTGTGTTAAAAATCAATATAATATTTAAAAACATAAGCATCATGCAAATTCCACTGAGACCAATGGTCTTTAATGTACCTTTATGATTGGATTCTCCTACTCCCAAGGTGGAATTGAATTTGATTATTATCTGTATTTGTCACTTTTCCATTGCTGTGGTAGAATAGCCTGGGAAAAAACAAATTTGAAGAACAATTTTGGCTTATAGGAGTGTGGGCTTGGCCTGACAGCCAGGAGGCAAAGTCGATCACATTTTATTTGTACATTGATACAACAGACAGAAGGGAGAGGGGGCAAAGGAGTTGGAGAGGGCAAATGGAGTCAAAACTCTAACATCCACCCTAGGTGTTTCTTCCTCCCACAAGCTTCTATTCCCCACAGGGCAGCATAAGCAGGACACCAGGCTTTCCAACACATGTGTGTTGGGGTCCGAATATGATATTTTGGATATAGGCCTCAACTGGATTTCAGGAGCTCCAATCCCCCCATTGTCTTTTAGATGTAGGCTGGTTACCTCTGGATGGCCTGGGCACTGTGGAGAATATCTCCTAGTTTGTATAACAATAGACTGAGGCCCTAAGTGGGCCCACACCTATCATCCTGAAGACTAGTGAAAAGTGCCTAGGGACTAGTAGGACCTGCCAGAAGGCTTGAGTATGTGCTTTGAGGACTATCTTGAGGATTAAAAGAAATAATTGATATTTAAGGGACCAGCTCCCCATTTCGGCAGCCATAACAGCCGAACACGTGCTTGTCTGACCTTGTCTTAGTCACTAAGGTCAGATGCCTGCCCCTTTCGGCAGCCGTAACAGCTGAACACATGCTTGTCTGACCTTGCCTTAGTCACTAAGAAGTTAGATGCCTGCCTTGTGGCAAGGAACCAATCAGAAGTTAGCTGGTCGTGCTATGCTTTATGGCTCTGGGTGTGCTTTACGGACAAGCACACAGCAATGACGAGCAGAGCATAGCAACCACCCTGGGAGGGTGTATGGGCCATTGCAACCAGTTGACCAATCAACACAGGGCAAGCCCTCCAAGCCTGGAGCCACACCAATTCTGAGCCTGTGTGTACCCCTAGACACTCCCCTTACACTGCCCTATAAGATGTCTAAGCAGCCGCTTCAAATGGTCTTTCCTAGCCATCCACCATGGTGGGTGGATGGAAGGCCTGAGCTAACATGGGGTTAGCTCGTGAAACTATAATAAAGCCTCATGCTGTTTGCATCAAGCTTTCAACTAGTCATGGTGATTGGGATGGCCTCGGTCTTGGGCTGAGATCCTGGAAGCCTGAGTTTCCGGGGGTCTTACAATATCAGCTCTATACATGATGATAAATGTCATCTACCAATACCCCCACTTTTGTAAAGCTATTTAAGAGGATACTTGAATAAACCATGGTCTCCAGTACTGACTGAGAGCTCTCCTGAGATGACAAGATGTCTCTGTCTCATCCTTAATGCTGTTGGGTAACTAGGATTTCCCTGATCCACACTCCCTCACTCAGGGTTGGACCCAGGGCTTTTTGGCTGGTTCCGATCACAGCCCTAAAGACATCAGTCTGGAAAAGATGGCCTCTGTAGTGTAGGACTGATACAGGCCAGATCCAGGCACAGGAGCCTGTGGGGAACAGTTCACATAAAACCACAGCATTGCTTTTTACGATCTATTACTAGATATAGCATATGTGGAAAATAAACAGCATAAAGATCATGAAATAGAACTTAAGGAGAGTATGAGAGCCCCCTGTGCTGTATACTTTTTAGTCCCTCCTTGATGATATTCTCTTATTTAAACTTTAACCCCATTGTCTTAGCCACTGTTAGATTGCTGTGAAGAGACACCATGACCAAGGCAACTATTAGAAGAAAAAATATTTAATTGAGGCCTTGATTATAGTTTCAGATGTAATTATCATCATGGAAGGGAACATGGCAGCTGGCAGGCAGGCGTTGAAGCAGTAGCTGATGGCTACATCCTGATCCACAGGCAGAGAGAGCAGCACTGGTCCTAGTGCAGGCTTTTGGAACCTCAAAGCTCACCTCGGATGATATACTTCTTCTAACAAAGCCATACCGTACTAATTTTTCTCTCAAACAGTGCCACACTCTGTTGTTTAAGCATTCAAATATGAGCATTCAAGTGTGGATGTACAGGGACCATCCTTATTCAAACTACCATATTCTTAATTGGTCTAGATAATAAAAGTCTGGAGTCAGATAAAGAGGGAAATGCTGAGAGATCAGAGACAAGGAGCAAGCCACAGCATACCTTACCTTCTAAGCGTCTCCACAGAGAAGAGAGCAATTTCCTGTTTGTCCCTGCTTATATTCTGTTTCTGCCCAGCTATGTGACTTCCTGTCTGTCTGTACAGACCTCCAGAACTCTATGGTTAGCTAGTGAGAAGCTCCATTCTCTGACCCCCAAACAAGCTTTATTTGTGCAAGAAAGGTATCACCACACCATATCTATCAATTAGTTTTGCTATTTAATTTTACTTATTATAAATGAATACATATCTACTTACTGGTATCTGGCTACTTTGACTCATTATTTCAGAAAAATTCTTACGTTATAAATAAGCCACACACAATAATGTATAATGTTGTATTATATATAATACAATTCTTGCTAACACTCAAAAGTTATTAAAGTAGCAGTATTGGTATCATTAACTTAAAGCCACCCAGTTGTGAATGACAGTGTAAGTGGCTTGGCGTCATCTCTCAAAGTTGGTGTTTTCCAACTTTTTTATTTTAGTGTTAACCATCCTACTGAACAATCATTGATTTTAAGTTAACTAAACCTCTAATAAACTCATGCCAAACCAAAGTCTGAATTCAAGAGCCACCATGTTCTAGGGAATAGCAGGATAGCCTCTCATCAAGAGGGATTCTTTGGCATCAAGCTCAAAGAACAAGTGTGGTTACAATAATAGGAAAGTGCATTTAATTTGGGAACCAAGAGCTATGAGCATAGGCTTGATATGCATGCCCTGAAAGCTAACACTCTGATGATGGGAGGCTGTAGATAGATGGAAACAGGAAGGGCTATATTTTTGGTTACCAGTTGGGCTTTTATAGCTGCAACAGGAGGCTGAATCATGCTGTTTTCACCTTTGCAGGGTCTCTGTTCTGGTGCCTCTTGGATATTGTCCCTATAAAGAATGAGAAAGGAGATGTTGTCCTTTTTCTGGCCTCTTTCAAAGATATAACAGACACTAAAGTGAAGATTACTTCAGAAGATAAAAAAGAAGGTAGGTGTGGTTTTCATAAAACATAGACATCTGGCAAAACATTTTGAAATTTTTAACTCAGACCTCTGGGGAAGGACAAAAGGCCCTTTTTGATAACAGCAATTGATAACTATTGATGGCTCTCAGTCAATATTTGGTGTATATCCAAAACTCACAGAGATGGGCATTTCCATCTCATCTTTGTAATGACCACTCACTTGACAGGAACAAGAAGTTCACATACCTCTGTGACTCACATGGGGGCCAGATAATAGCATCCCAATGTTTCCCACCTCTTCACTTCATCAGGGAGTAAAGATGCATTGACTGGACAAGGGGTGTTAAAGTGATGATGTGTTTGATGTGTGTAGGTAGAAGTGCAGCATGGTGGTTATTAGAGGATGTTACAACCATGTACCCTGTACCACACAGCATGTACTGTACAGCATGCAGATTATTCAAAGTCACAAACAAACTTTACAAACATCTTTGAAAGCCTCCAAGAGTTTATATAAATATTCTGTCCTTTAGTTGCTAGTATTTAAAGCTGTCTAACGAAAGTCAACAATGATAAAATGCCAATAGTGTTATAAACAGAAATGGGGTCTAGTAACCAGGGGAAAAGAGACCATTCGGCGTGGGTTTCTGGGTAGTAAGTTGCTTTTTTAACTTCTTTATTGAATCATTAGGTGTTTCACATCATGCACCCCAATTCTCTTCACCTCTAGTTTCCTCCATATTACACCCCCAGATACCCCTGTTGTATCCCTCCCAGAAAAGAAAACTAAAAGTAAGTAAGCAAGCAAATAAAGAACAAAAACAAAAGAAAAAAAACATTAAACCAAAACAGAAAAACAAAAAACATACCCAAGACAGCAAAAATCTCTGCTTCTCCTCCTCTCCTGTCTCTCCATCACCTCTTCATCTGTGCTGGTGACATTTGAAGTTTTCATGTGTCATATGGTATACTCCTTTATCCCATCAGCTTGACTGGTGACTGACTGTCCATTGCAGTGAGTCATTGGCTGGTTCAAGGTCTCTGGTTTTTGGACACTGTCCTCACTGGATCTTCACCGGAGCTCTTCTGGAGTATGCTGTGTCTTGGAAATCGTGTGGGTATCATTCTGCAGGTCCAGTCCCTTCACAGACTCCAGCAGGATTTAGATGGGGTAGATGCTAGGGGTGGGTCAATGAAAGGCCCCGCTGTGGGCCAGGTGTTAGCCAGGCAGGTCAGATAGAGCCATTGGGGCCAGAGGCCTCAGGTGTAGTAGTGGAGTCAGCTCCCCATTCATGCATGCCCTCAGGATAGGTTCATCCTTGCCTGTGGTGAGGGGTGGGGGTCCTCTCTCCCAAGTATAGGGGCAAGCTCTCTTGCTGTTGCCAATAGCAAGAAAAGCCAGCTTTCCCAGGGCAGTGAAGGGCCGAACTGGCTCAATATAACACACTGACTTCACTTTGCATGATCCCTGAGGCCTCCTGAAGCACCACTGGCCACGGAAATCAACACAAACCCCAGCTGCAGCTGGGCCATGAACCCATACGTAGCCCTTGGCAGCAGCTTAGACCAGGATGACATCCTGGCTCATGGTGGAGGGAATGGCCACTCAGGTGGGAATGGTTCTGGCAGCCTTACGGTCACTGCCTGCACGAAACCTGCTGTAGTAAGTTGTTTATCAGAACCACTGGCTTTGTATTTCAACCCTGAATTTTAGGAGTTGATTCCCTTTAAAAAATGTGTATGAGTGTTTGTTTCATGCATAGTGTCTCATGGAATGACAATCCAAGGGAAGAGATACTGAGTTTGTTTTGGACTTCTGTCTTTTGAAATGCTGCTACTCCTTTGCCTGTCTATAAAATGTATTTAATATAACATTTGAATCTATGTATTAATGAATTTGACAACCTAGATTCTTGGTGCTCTGAGTCTTTCCTCCCAGTCGAATGTCCTGAAAAGAAAACAAAAACCACCATTCTGTAAGGACATAAGTGTTCTAGGTTAGAAAGTGTGGACAGAGGCTTTCTGATCACAGAATTCTCAAAGGGGTGGGTCAGGATTAACAAAATCTTTTTAGTGTTGAAAAATAGGCACTTCTGAATTCAACTGCTGAAACTATAGTTCTTAAAATGTATTTGTATATAATAAAATACATGTGATTTGTCTATAATTAATTAAGTATAATAAAATGGATTTAATTTTATAAGTCATATTTAGCATTTAACATTATTGTGAAAAATTAATAATGAATAATTCCACAAATGTCAGCTAAGCAGCACCCATCAGCCACAAAGCTAGCATTTGGGTTGTCATCGGCCACATCTTAGCTTAAATCCTTCAGCTTCCAGCTAGTGACACAACTCAGATCTGTGTGGATCCAGGAGGGAGGGACCTGTGAAGCAGACAGAGGCCACGAACAGAAGAGATGTTGTAGGGAAGTTAAGACAGATGAAGGCAGAGATGTGCTCATGGAAGTGTGTCAAGCAGAGATTGCTGCTCTACTTCAGTGAAGCAGCCTCCAGTGCAAGAAACACTAGACACTTCTTACATTTGTTTTTACGAACTTTACTATTTCCCTGATGGTTGAGGCCATCACATTAAGCCAAGGAGATACAACCATAGTGCTTCATCAGATGCTGTTAGCTCATGTGAAACAGGTTTTAAGTTCAAGTATTTAAGCATCAGCCCCACCCAGCCCATCCCTGTCAGGCAAACCACTTTCTTGATACCATATCCTTTTAACAGTCTTGAGGTTTCTGGTTAAGCTGTGCTTGCCTGATTACTCTCCAGTAAAGTGTACTCCTTTTCTGTCTGTTCATTCAGGTCCTTAAATTTTCCCACTTGTGGCACATCTCTATCATCACTATTCCCCATAGAAATCCTAGCTCTTTTCTTTAGTTTGGTTTTATCAAACCATCTTATCTCACAGTGAGCAACTTTCCATGGACTGTTTCACTCTCTTTTCACTTTTTGTACTGATTTATACAACCTGGTTATCTGTTTACCTTTCTAAGGGAGTGGGGAACCTGGGAGAATGGAGCCCAAAAATGAGGTGGAATAAATTGTCATGCAATAGCCAGTTTTATTAAAAGCATCAGACAATTCATACTCTGAGTGTGGTGATATGTTATTTATGATTTATTAAAGCTTATCTGAGGATTCAGAAAGCAAAGTCAGCCATAAGCCATAGAAGCCAGGCACACACCTTTAATCCAAGCATCCAGAAGCTAGGAGGTAGTGGTACTCACTTTTTATCCTAGGACTCAGGTTTAAGAGATAGATGGTTCTATGGGAGTCCAAGGCCACCCAGATCTACATATGATTGATCCAGTCCTAAAGAGAAACAGCTCACACAAAGATGATCTCAGCAACCGGGATCACGTGCCTTTAATCTCAGCACTAGATGGCTATAAAAGATAGGAACAGGGTCTTCAGTAGTCAGTATCAGTCATTCATTCTGCAGCCACATTGTGGATAGGAAGACATTGAAGTCTCAGGATTCTCCAGCCACACTGAAGAGAGGCAGCAGTCTGAGGTTTGGTGGAGCCAGGATTGCCGTTCATCGCAGTTAGAGTGAGAGCTAGTGTCCTGCTGCTTTGCTTTTCTGAGTGTCAGCTTGAAGTTTGAACCCCAGTATCAGTTATTTTATCGTGCAATACTCTGAGGTTTAGGAGGAGTCACATGACTAAAATGTACAATCACAAAGGCAAACTGCACATGGTGGACAGGCTGCATGTGGCAAAAACCTGTTTTTCCACAGAGCCCAGTTGTAATGAATACTCTGAAGTAAACTTACTCCTATCTGCTATACCTGGGGGAGCCATGCAAGTATAATCCAAGAACAATTCTGCGTTTCTCAAGAAACTGAGGTCACAAGACTTTTGTCTTGGTTCCTTGGAGTGTTCTCCAAAGCATGCTCACACGACTCCATTCTTGGACCCTGTTACCGCAGGCCGATGCTGCTTCATGTCTCTGAATGTCCCATGGATCTGAAACATTAGAGATGCTGAGTCAATTGTTGACTGGCTGAGTTTCCTAGATGTTTACTTATATATCAGTGTTTTCTAAAATTCATTTCCTCCCAGCTCATTTATATGTGTCTGAACTTTACAAAATTCTTTTCACAGCAGTTCACTCTTGACACTAATTTGGTTTTTCATTCAAACCAGTTGAGCTTAATAATACATGCTGTGTTTTTCCAGGCACAAGGCCCAGTGCCATTATTTTTACTTATTTCTTATGGAGTGTCCTAGATTTGCTGTGCTATGGTGTTATGTGGCCTCAGGATCATAAGGTATCACCAAATCAGGGAAACTAAATTACAGTTTCTAAACTGGGGGTAGTGGGGACTTCAAATTTATTTTGAGAATCTCTAAGGGGGTTGGATGAGGATGTGGCGTGTGTGTGTGTGTGTGTGTGTGTGTGTGTGTGTGTGTGTGTGTGTGTGTGTAGTGGCATCTCACCTTGCCAGTGAATTTCTGTTAGTGGCCTCTCCCCTTTGGGCATGGCTTCAGGTTTGGATGTGACCGGAAAGTAGAGAATCAGAGGATTCAGAGGATGGGCTCTCTCTCTCTCTCTCTCTCTCTCTCTCTCTCTCTCTCTCTCTCTCTCTCTCTCTCTCTCTCTCTCTCTCTCTCTCTCTCTCTCTCTCTCAGATCAGATTGGATAGAAGGGCCGCAACTGCATCTTCCGCAGCAGGAAGGCTGTGGCAGTTCTTTATTATTATCTGTGTAAGTTGTTCCCCAATAAAATACTCATTTATCATTTATCTTGGGTCTAGTGAACTCATTAATATCCCCCAGTGGTGATACTAACTAGGATTCACATTCAGTATCATTTATAGTCCAACTTTGCCAAGCCCTTGCAATAAGTTGCCATGGTCAAGTACAGTGACTAAAATCTGATGTTGCAACTATATCTGAACCAATTGCTAAGTGGCTTTGGAAAGAAGAAATAAAATCATCTTGCTGAATGTTCCCTGTGTGTTGCATGCAGGTATGAGGTCCTGAAAACCACATTGACTCAA